TGGACTAGCCTCTTATGTAACCGTGGGAAGACTGGCCCTTGGCAAGTCCTCCACCTGGGAAAGCTCGTCTTTGGTCCTATCATGTTGCTTCTTTTTTTCTCCCTCCCCTTGTTCTCTATACAGTGCGGCCTTGACTTATGAGTTTAATTCGTTCCCAGACCGAGCTTGTTAAGGAGCTCGTTAACTCAAATTACTCTATCAACTCAATGCAAAAAATCAGCCGAGAGACAGCTGCTATCTCAAAAAACTCATTCGGGACACTCGTAAGTCAAAGCCACACTGTAGTTTCGAGTCTGCCATCCCCACAACACCGCCAGCACCATCCTCGAATTTTCCTTCCTCTTCAGGCTGACTGTTTCCTAACAGGCTAAGGCAACGCTTTAAGCTAAAAGCACCCAGTTTGTAGGGTGGAGGTGGGTGGCTTTTCAAGGAACAAAAAACGTGAAAGAGGCAGCCTTTCAAAACACCCAAACCCTATCAAGGAGGTTGCCTGGCCTTGGGATTTCCAGTCCTCACATCTCACAGTGCCAGGGTTATGAGTGATTCCCCAGTCAGGGCAATCGATTTCAGAAAGGAAGAGAGAGAGAGAGAACATCAATGACGAGAGAGAATCATTGATCAGCTGCCTCCTGCATGCCCCTCACTGGGGATCGAACCCGCAACCCAAGCAGGTGCCCTGACTGAGAATCGAACTGTGACCTCCTGGTTCATAGGTTGATGCTCAACCACTGAGCCACGCCGGCTTCATGCTGCTCTTGGCCAGGGCCTGGTGCTTTGCCGCGAGCTGCAGCAGAGGTCCTGGTGCTCCCACAGTTCCACCGAAAGTGTCAAGTCCATGTCCTACTTCCCACCTTCAGCAGCAAAAGTCTATGTCCTCCACAGCCAGCCAGCTCAGCGAGGGCTCCTCAGCTCTCTTCGTGTGGACAAGGCACACAGAGGTGCCCAAGTCACCATCCTGGCTGGTAGGCCTTGGTGACTGAGGCTCCAGTACCCCTCCGAGAGACAGCTGCTATCTCAAAAAACTCATTCGGGACACTCGTAAGTCAAAGCCACACTGTAGTTTCGAGTCTGCCATCCCCACAACACCGCCAGCACCATCCTCGAATTTTCCTTCCTCTTCAGGCTGACTGTTTCCTAACAGGCTAAGGCAACGCTTTAAGCTAAAAGCACCCAGTTTGTAGGGTGGAGGTGGGTGGCTTTTCAAGGAACAAAGTTAAGAGATGTTTTCCTGGGGCACTGGACAAGCATTTCCCTGGTGTGACTGAAGCCACACCAGGTGGGCAGCCATTGCTTCATTTCTCTAGTCCCAATAGGGATCACGTAGGTGGTCGTGGTGGGACCTTAGGCATGATAGATTTCCATCAGAAGACACCCTTTTCTTTCTTCAGTCCTTTTCTCCAAAGATGGAAGGGCGTTCAGTCCCCAGAAAGCAGGGAGGGTGTGAAGGGACCCAGGTCGTCAGCCCCTGGATGCTTAGCGAGTGGCACTGGGCGGCTCGGTGGGAACAGGAGGCACTCGGTGGCCCTTGTGCACATGTATGTATGTGCATGAACACATGCATGTGTGTGAAGCTGCAGGCAACAGTCGAGCTCAGGTCTGTTTTGGTTAGATGCCTTTGGCTGCAAGTAACAGAAAACTTAGCTCACAATGGCTTAAGCTACCTTAAGGGTGTTCATTATTCCACGTAACAAGCAATCCAGGCTTAGACTGGATCCTGGTGTGACTAATTCAGAGAATCAGCTGGATCATCAAAGACGCACGTCTCCTCTGTCCTTTGGCCTTGTTATCCTCAGTGCATTCTCCAGGGGTTACTCCCTTCCTGGTTATAAGATGGACATAAATCAGGCCCATCTCCAGTGGAAATGAAAAAAACAACGCTTTTTTTCTCATGTGACTCTTTTTAAAAAGAAAAGAATCTTTCCTAAAATCTTCCTGCTGCATTTCCTCTGTCTCATTGGAGAACAGTGGGTCACGTGTCCATCCCTAAACCACTCCCTGCAAGAGAAAGGGAACCATCATACTTGGCTGCCACCAGTCAGCGGATCCCAGGCAAGGGGGGCAGGCGGGAGCCTGAAACAGGAGAGTGGCGAGAGCAGGCCTCTCGGGAAAGGGCCAGAGCTGGGGCTCTGCACCTGGCCTGGCGGGAGGCACCACGTGGCCCTGCTCCTCCCTGTCCGCTCTGAGGCCTCGGTGGGAAGGCAGCCGCGGTCTCCTGCCCCGGTCATGCTCGGAAAGCCTAGACAGAAGTCCCCTCCTGTTCACTACTAAGTGAATGCATAGCTCCAGGTTTGTGGGCCAGACAGGGGATGGTACAAGTGACAGGAGAATAGAGAGACTTTTCCTATGGTGCCACGTTAGTCACGATATTAAATCACGGTTATTCTTACTGCCTTTCACTTTAGGACAGTGGTTCTCAACCTTCTGGCCCTTTAGACACAGTTCCTCATGTTGTGACCCAACCATAAAATTATTTTCGTTGCTACTTCATAACTGTAGTGTGGCTACTGCGATGAATCGTAATGTAAATATCTGATATGCAGGATGATCTTAGGCGACCCCTGTGAAAGGGTCATTCGACCGCCAAAGGGGTCGCGACCCACAGATTGAGAACCACTGCTTTAGGACCTCGTACTTGCTCTTCTCCCTGTGAAACACTGGTCACATTAGAGCAAGCATGTCAAACTCGATGGCTAACATGGGCCAAATAAACGAGGCATGTGGCCCACGGCTGAGAGTTTGACATGCTTGTTTTAGAGAGACTGGATTTCTGAACAAGTCTAGGCCCAGGAATTGATAAGAGCTCAAAAGCCTGTGATGCTATTCCCAGCCATGGCTGCAGGGCCAGGACCTGCCAGAGTACCTCCCCTCTCCTCTCAGACTCTCGTCCACCTCCGCCCTGTTTTCGCTGCAACACCTCTCATCGGTCACTCTGCCTCCTGCCCACCCATCCCTCTGCCCTCAAGGAGGGTCACCACCAGAGCTGGCCGTCCACAGCCACCATTGTAACCCCAAGAAGCTGCCAACTTGGAGCTTTTGGAAATGACAAAACCTGCTTCCTTTTGGGGGAGCGGGGAACACTTTCCCCAGGACCGGTCTGTGGCAGGACAGGGAGGAAGGAGGGCTGGCGTGTAGATTGGGGTGCAGCCTGGGACCTCGGAGTTGACGAGAGCCCGGTTCATCTGAGGCTCACCGTGTGCTCTCTTGGGGGTCGCACCGCACCTGGGACGGAGACGGCTGCAGAGCGAGCAGTCCAGCTGTCGGACCCGTGGCCTGACTCGCGGCGGTGACGCCCATTCTCAGAGATGCAGGCTCGTCCTTCCACCGGCTTCTCAGGGCCGGGCACGAACCTCAGAAACGGATGCTGGGGACAACGGGTAAGTGGGGGCCATTGTTTGTGTGTTTCCTCCAGGGTGTCCGGATCAAGGTCAAATGTGTTCATGAGGTTTAAGGCGACGGCCAGAGAGGGCCTGCTGATGTGGCGGGGGGACAGCCAGAGGCCCAACAGCGACTTCATCTCCCTGGGCCTTCGGGACGGAGCCCTGGTGTTCAGGTGAGCCCTCCCCACTGCCTTCCGCGTCACTGCGCAGGTCATGCCAGACAGGGAGGAGGAGGGACCTGAGCCTTGTCTGCTGGAATGACCGGTGCCTGAAACCCCAGGCTGGGCCGAGGCCCCTGGCCTTTCCTTCCGGCGTCCTCCTTCCAGAGCAGCAGGCAGCCAGCCGTCCACAGCCCAAGGGCCAGGTCTGGCCCACCACGCATTTTTGTCAATGAAGTTTGATTGGAACGCTGCCATACTCATTCATTTATGTACTGTCTCTGACTGCTTTCGTGCTACAGGGGCACACGTGACTAGTTTTATTTATTTTTTATTTTTTGAAAAAAATATTTTTTTATTTCAGCGAGAAAGGGAGAGGGGGAGAGAGATGGAAACATCAATGATGCGAATCATTGATTGGCAGCCTCCTGCACGCCCTCTACTGGGGATGGAGCCCACAACCTGGACATGTGCCTCGATTGGGAATGGAACCATAACCTCTTTACCACTGAGCTATGCCAGCCGGCACACTTGAGTAGTTTTATTAGGGGCTGTATGGCAAAGCCTAAAATGTTTATTATCTGGTTCTTACAGAAGAGTTTTGTGACCCCTTTTGTACTGTGTTTCTGCCATGTGCTCCCCACTTGCAAATGGGGACTTGGTACAGCTGGGGTGGCCCTGAGTACAGGACTTGGTACAGCTGGGGTGGCCCTGAGTGCAGGACTTGGTACAGCTGAGTGTGGCCCTGAGTGCAGGACTTGGTATAGCTGAGCCTGGCCTTGAGTAGAGGACTTGGTACAGCTGGCGTGGCCCTGAGTAAGGGACTTGGTACAGCTGGCGTGGCCCTGAGTGCAGGACTTGGTATAGCTGAGTGTGGCCCTGAGTGCAGGACTTGGTATAGCTGGCGTGGCCTTGAGTGCAGGACTTGGTATAGCTGGCGTGGCCCTGAGTGCAGGACTTGGTACAGCTGGCGTGGCCCTGAGTAGAGGACTTGGTACAGCTGGCGTGGCCCTGAGTACAGGACTTGGTACAGCTGGCGTGGCCCTGAGTGCAGGACTTGGTATAGCTGAGTGTGGCCTTGAGTAGAGGACTTGGTACAGCTGGGGTGGCCCTGAGTGCAGGACTTGGTACAGCTGGGGTGGCCCCAGAACAGAACTTGGTGCAGCTGAGTGTGGCCCCAAGTACCTGGCTCAGGGCTCCGCCTCCGGCAGCGTTGAAGACCCCAGTCGGGAGACCTGGCGATCAGCTCTGACCATGCTCCCTGTTAGCTGTGCAGCCGTGGGGAGGAGAAAGCCTGCTTTCCAAGCTCCCACTACCAAGAAGAGCAAAGCACAGATCTATATCTCAGCAGATCGACCCCACATTCGGCTTTTTAAAAATGCTTCTTGGGTGATACTGGTACGGAAGCCCCTAAAGCTCTTAGCCCTTCTCAGTGAACTTAGACCGCTCTCAAGTTTTCCACTTGAGTAGCTAGGAAACAGCTGAAGGATCCCGACCCGACCACTTCTCCCCACCAGTGTGGGAGGGGCTGGGTTCCCACGGGCCCGGACTGGCTTGTGTAACAAATAGGAAAACGCATCCTCTACCAGGGTGGGGAACATCCGGCCCGGGGGCCAGGGAAGGCTGGTGAAATCGTTTGGTCTGGCCCTGCCAAGTTATTAGGGGCGAGTTAATTAAATGTTTGACCAGATATTGCAGGCTAATATTTAAGTTAATAACTTTGTATGGCCCGTGAATGATGCTATAAATATCCAAATGGCCCTTGGAGAGAAGAGGTCCCCCACCCCTGGATCTAGACCAATGGGTCTTCAAGTCTGGTCCCTGGACCAGCAGCAGCAGCGTCACCTGGGACCATCTTAGACATGCAAACGCCCAGGCCCACCCCGGAGTGGAAAAGCACTAGAGAGGAGCTTGTGCTGTTCCCACCATTTCTCTAGGTGAGTCGGTTGCTCGCTAAACCCTGCAAGGTCTCTAGACCACCATCTGCTCCGTACGGCAGGAGTTTATGTGGCTTTCCTTCTTTAACCTCCCTCTACCCGCCGCCCCCCCCCCCCACACACACACACCTCTGGGGCCTAGCCCAAGTGGTCACTAAATCATTTCAATTGGAACAGACAAAGGTAACTGCACAAGGGAGAGGATGAGACTTGGTTCTGGGCTTCTGTGGGCAGGCGCTGGCAGCCCTCAGAGCCAGGGTAGGATCATGGAAGTCTTTCCCATTTGAATAAAAAGCATCTTGGGAGGAAATGTCATTTTCCAACATCGCACTGGCCCCTAAATAGCAGAGCGTGCTCAGTGACGCGATCCTGGGACGGCGGGGCACTTTCGAGAGACCCCTGTGGTTGAAGGCTAGAGGTTGGCCGATGAGAGCAGTCCCACCATCTCCGCACCCTTCCCCCTGGCCCCAAGGTCAGACGCCAAGCTTTTCACACCCCGGTTTCAGGCTGGCTGCCGTGCAGCCATTTTCTTGTGGTTTTCCTGTGGTTAACCTCACCAAGGCCTCAAGTTCTTGATTGTGCCCAGAAAAGGGAACTGAAACAGTAGCTCAGCCTTGGGGGGGAGGCCCACTTCCCCCCTAAACCACCAGCCAAATCTATTCACCGCTGGTCCCAGCAGGACAGGGAGACTCATCTGCTCAGGGCCACCTTGAATCCCCCCACAGGCCCTGGCCAGCCCCCCACACCCTATGGGCACCCTTTCAACAACTCCACTCCATCTGGAACTATTTCCTATGATTCTGTGTCTTTCTCAGGTTTTTGACAATTGGCCCTGTTTTTCTTTGGAGGCTGGAGCTCTGGTTGTGTTCTGTGCCCAGGACGCACAGCTCAGCCCTCCCCGGCCTGCCCCCGGGCCTGGGCCCACAGCTGCGGCTCCACTGTCGCCTGCCTCCCAGCAGGTACTTCCAACACAGAGATGCGTGGTGCCCCGCGGGAGGCTGGCACGGAGCCGGCTAGACCGCAGGCCAGTGGTTTGAAAGCGGGGAGCTTGTTTCAGAGGCGGGTTCCTGGGCCCAGCCCGCAGACTCGGATGGAGCAGGTCTCTGTGGGCGCCACTCTGACAGGAAACAGTCCGGGACCACGCCCTTGGAAACGGGTCTGAGTGGTCAAAGGCTTGAGCTCCAGAGCCAGACAGGCTGGTTCCCAGGGCCACGTGACCTCCTGCGAGTGACCGGACCTCCCTGTGAGAAGGAAAGGGTTGGTGGAAAGGGTTGGATTAGTTCATTCTTGCAAAGGGCTTAGTGCAGGGCCCGGAATAGCTAGTTATTAGGGATAATGAATATCAAACGTATTTCCCTTGGTCAAGTGTAAGTTCTAAAAACCCCTACCTCGGATTGATAGCGTAAGGAAGTTAGCACAGTAGGGAACTAACTGCTTCACAAAACGGAGCTATGATTATTATTCTTGTTTTTAATAAGACATAGGCCCCGCCTGCGAGCAGCTTACATAGGGGGAGCTTAGAGAGTGGACTGGTGTTTGGGTAGAAAACCCGTGTTTGAGGTTTTGGTGTTTGACCCAGGTCCAAAGCGAACAATAGAAAACGTAAGATGGTAGAATATATTCTCAACTTTCTTGACTTGTTTTCTTCACCGAAATGCTGTTCCTTTTGCTACTTCGGTGCGCAAAGCCCTCCTGGCAGAGAATGAGTGAGAGCAGTGGAGCTCCAAGAGAAGCCGTGTGTGGCTTCTGTGCGAGGTTAAGTAGAGGAAGAGCAATCAGAGTGCGCAGCCGAGTGCGGTTTTCCCGTCCCGGTTCCGTTTCATTTGGGTTCATGGTTGCATGTGGGGCAGAAGACCCAGTGAGCAGGTTCTGTGAGGATCCCTGGCCTGACCGTCTTTCCCGCTCATTCTCCATGTGACCTTGGTAACATTTTCGTGCAGCAGAGAAGGGAAGGGATCTGACCTTGGCGGGGTGCCCTGTGCTGCAGTTTAAGGGCCCAGCTAAGTAGCATGTGGCCACATGCAGGCGCGATGGTTCCCCGAGGCCTCCCCTGGGGGCTTTTCCATGAGAGGGGATGAGGAAAACCTGCACCAGGATAACCAGTCAGCTGACCAGATCCACAAGACCTTGCTGGCGAAACCAGACAGGCATTTTTGTTTTGTTCATTTTTCACTCATCCTTATGTATTTCCTTTTTTTAAAAAAATTGAGCTATAATTTACATGAAGTGCACACATGTTTGATACATTTTAAATGTGTAAACACCTGTGGATCCCCTCTCCTCCCCCACACCCCACCCCATACACAGAACAAGATACAGAAGAGTTTTCACACCCAAGGCTTCCTGTGCAGCAAAGAGAACCACTAGTCTTGGTCACGTATAACTACTCAAAGGAAAGAGAGGTGCAGGGTGTCTGGGAAGCAGGAGGTTATGGTAGGGCCTAAATCTGAGGAGTCCGGGGGTGGGGGGTGCGGGGGGGACTGGAGAGTCAGGCCCTGGAGACGCCAGCAGCGTGTGGAGGCCCCGTGTGGGCTGATGCTGGAACCTGTCTGCCGGATTCAGGGCTGCCCCGAGCACAGCATGGACAGGCGTGCCCTCGGGCTGCCGAACAGGCGGGAAGCCCCGCCTTTCACCAAACACAACTGCGAAGGTTCCCACTCACCAGATTCCACTCCCGTTCCAGCCCAGCGTCCCTGCAGCTTTCCCCGGGTCACCTCTGCTCTGCGCGCTCCTGACCCTTCTGGTTACACATTTATAGCCTGTGGTTTGCGCTCGCACAGGACTGCTCTCCCAGGAGAGGCCTCCTGCCTCCAGTTCCCGGGGGCCTGCTGACCCCATCTGCGAGCTGCATTAACACGGCACATGCCTGGGGTGGCGGGATCATTTGTGTGGTTTCTACTCTGTGCTGTGCTCTGTGCATGTGTTGTCTTACTGAATGTTCCCTACGGCCCTTCAGGGCAGGTATAATTAATCACCCCCACTTTCAGATGAGGGATCTGAGACTCAGAGAGATGAAGCCAATCGCCCCAGGGCAGGAGCTCGTCACTGGCAGGAGTGGGAATCCAGGCGGGTGGGTCTGATCGGTGGGTCCCCGGACCCCTCGCGAAGCTGCACAGCCACTCAGCTGCGTGCCTGCCAGCCAGGCTCAGCCGCTGCGCGGTCAGGCCTTGGCCACTGAGTAATGAAATCTGACAACTCCCCTCCAGGCTGCTTTGCACAAGGAGCCGCCTGGTGTGGGAAACTTGCTGGGAAAACAGTGGCGCTTTCAGGGTCGGGTCGCAGCCTCCTCTCGCAGGGTGTCAGGTCACCGAGTTCTCTTCTGGGTTAAATATCAGGCGCTGGGACTCCTTTGAGCCTCCGTTCTTGACGAAAGGACCCGGGGCGCTTTCCCTGGGGAAAGCTGGGCGCTGTCTGTTCTCGCCTTTTTTCTCAGGCCAAGTGCGCACAGGAGCCCAGGGCCGAAGCCAGGGCCTGGCATCCCTCTTCCTTGGCCGGTGAAGGACAGGAGAGACTTGTCCTCCCCAAGATGAGGAGAGAGCTGTTCCAGCTGGGAGGCATTTCCTCCCCAAGCATGATGACCAAGGGGAGGGCGGGGCCCGGCCCAGGCCCTGCCTAGGCCTGTCAGTCACTCGCCAGCTATTGTTGGATTCAATCAGATTAGAATAATCGAATGAACACTGGACTGGGAGGGATATTTGTCTCTGGTAAACAACCTGTGTGTGTCCTTTGATACCCTCAGGGTAGCGGGGCATCTGGAAGCTGAAATAGAAAACAGAAAGCTTCTGAGTGGACCCGGCATCAGAGTAAAACGCGGGGGAGGAGGGACAGATAAAATCCCAAGTTCAAAGGGATTTTAGTCAAATGCCTTTCATCTCTTTGGGGCTCTTTGTTTTGCTTTTTAAAAAGTGAAAACACATGTATTGGTTTCCAAGAGCTGCCATAACACATTGTCACAAATTGGGTGGCTTAAAGCAATTGGAATTTATTTCTGTCCAGGTTCTGGGGAAAACATCCTCAGGTGAGAATTAACAAAGTCTACGTGCAGGGGTGGGCAGGGGTGCTTCTTCTGAGGGGCGGTGTGGTCTGTGCCTCTCGCTAGGCTCTCAGGGCCGGCAGTCCTTGGCTCACAGCTACATCACTCCAACCTCTGTCTTCATCTCCGCATGGCATTCTTCCCTGTGTGTCTGCCTGTCTGTCCAAATTTCCTTTTCTCATGAGGACACCATTCCAACAGGATTTAGGGCTGTCCTAATCCACTATGACTCCATTTTAACTAACGACATCTGCAAAGACCCTATTTCTAATTAAGGTCACAATCTGAGGTTCTGTGTGGACGAGAATTTGGGGGGGCCCTATTCCAGCGAGTATAACACATTACAAATGGTAAAGCCCTTCTTGTTCCTGATGCTACACGGATGCTCCTGACCATGGGCCTAAAGATCATCAGCCGTGAGGACATTATTCTGAGTGAAATAAGCCAGTGACAGACAAATAATGTAGGATCCTACCTATAGGAAGTACCTGGAAGTGGTCCAACTCATAAGGTGAATAGGAGCATGGGGGTTGCCGGGGATGGAGGGAGGGGGAGTGAAGAGTTGCTGTACAAGGGGTGCAGAGTTTGAGCTTTGCAAAATAAGGAGAGTTCTGGAGAATGATTGTACAACAAGGTGAGCATATGTGGCACCACTGAACTGCACACATAAAAGTGGTGAAGGCGGTAGGTTTGCTGTTATGTCTACTTTGCCACAATTAAAAACATATTTGGTCATTCCTGGCCCAGCGTGGAAACCTGATTGCTAACATTGTTTTGTTTCGTGTGGAGGAAACAGCATGCTGAGTTCATAGACCTTTTGCCATGAGGTCGCTGTGAGTGTCTGCCTGGGCGTCAGTGTGTGACTGCTCTGTCTTGTTCTTCTCCGACGCCCTAGCTATAACCTGGGCAGTGGTGTGGCATCCATCCTGGTGAACGGCTCCTTCAGCGATGGTCGGTGGCACCGGGTCAAGGCTGTTCGGTGAGTACCTCCCACGGTGCAGGACAGAGCAGAGCCCAGCAGCGGTGGGACGTGCTCTCCAAGTCCCTTTAGTTCCATGTCCTCTTCCCCAGCCTTGCCTGGCCTCCCACGCTCCTCATCCAGGGCCTTTTGCTACCAACTCCCACCTGTGCCCTCTACGGACAGTGAACTCCTAAAGCTTCACTCGCCAGCGGCTTTCTGGAGAAATTATTTATATATTTATGTTAATCCTCACCTGAAAATATTTTTTCCCGTTGGTTTTTAGAGAGGGTAGAAGGGAAAGAAGGGGGAGGAAGAGAGAGACAGAGAGAGAGAGAAACATCAATGTAAGAGAGGCACATGGGTTGGTTGCCTCTCTGCACGGCCCCAACTGGTGACCGGGGATCGAATCTGCAACCCAGGTACGTGCCTTGGCCTTAATCAAACCCGTGAACCTTGGGTGCACTGACCAACACTCTATCCACTGATCCACACTGGCCAGGGCTGGAGAAATAACTTTTTGATGGCTTCCTGGAAGAGGGCCTCCTATTTAGTGAGATCCGGGTATCACTACTGGGATGAAATTTGGGGGCAGATGGACTTTGAGGAAGGCTCCACATCTCATGTAGGCAGTTGCCCGCTTTTTCTTTGACATCACTTCGCCTGAACCTCAAAAGCTCTGTGTATCCTGCCCCTCACAGAAGTCGCTACCCTGATTTCTGATTCACTCTGGGTGAATCACTCCCTTAAAATTATGGTCTTGCTACCTATCTCCATATTCCTAACAATATACTGAGAAGTCAAATAGCAGGCCCAAATGGGGCAGTGTGAAGAAACCTCAGTCTTGCCATGTTACTGCAGGTTCCAGGAGATGAGCTGAACAGAGGTTTTTATTTGGGTTCCCTGAGAATTTACCACAACCCTTTCTGGGGAGGTTAGTGGGTGAGGTCAAAGGTGAGGCTTGGGAAACATGGGGTCACCAAGGTCAGTTTCTTACTCTGCACACATATAGACTGTAGTGGGAATAGCCTTGCTGGACCCCACTCTCTTGTCCATAGTGCCTGTCTTTGATACCCTAGAGCAGTGGTCGGCAAACTCATTAGTCAACAGAGCCAAATATCAACAGTACTTCTTCAAAATAGACTTGCCCAGGCCGAAAACCGACTTCTGCGCATGGGCCATGAAGCTTCAATCGCACTGTACACGCGCGTGGTATTTTGTGGAAGAGCCACACTCAAGGGGCCAAAGAGCCACATGTGGCTCTTGAGCCACAGTTTGCCAACCACAGCCCTAGAGCAAGCATGTCAAACTCAAAGACTAGCACGGGCCAAATAAACAAGGCATGCGGCCTGCAGGCCCCAAATATGACATGCTTGCCCTAGAGGGGGTGTGAGGACACAGAGGCAGATCTGTGCCCATCAGCTGCCCACATAGCATAGGAAGTCCTGGCGATAGTGATTTTGATGAAGCCCAACTCTTGACTTGTTGAACAAATGATATAATTATTAATACCATCAAAGAGATAAAAGAAACAAGAAACAAGAGCTGTTTGCTATAGAAAAGGAACATTAAAAGACCAATAAAGAAGTGCAGCCTGGGTCGGCATCTCCCACGAGAGCTATGGACGCAGGCATGCTTTTTGAAGAAGCGTGGGGCTGGATGGTTTGGGGAACCTGCAAAGCCCTTCCACTCCACTGTCCTCGGACTCCCTTTTGGGTGGTTCTTTGGGTCCTTTCCAAACTTCTAAGCCAGTGGTTCTCAACCTGTGGGTCGCCACCCATTTGGGGGTCGAACGACCTTTTCACAGGGGTCACCTAAGACCATTGGAAAACACATATATAATTACATGTTGTTTGTGATTAATC